ATCATTTATTGTAATGTCTGGACAGGATATGGAGCATTTAAGAGGCGACCTGCCGTCACAGAGCTAGATTGTTCAGACTCTGATTCGCAGGGTAGGAGAGACATTGGTGTGCACGTGTGTGTGTTCTCTCGCTGCCTGTGTGCTTCATCATTAAAAACCAAAGAGCTCAGTTTCAAACTGATGAGTGGGTAGATCTCTCTCTCTCTCTCTCTCTCTCTATCCCTCCCTCTTACCTTGACCCTACTGAGTTACTTGACATTACATCCTCCTGCCCATGCAGAGAATTTGACAGTGCCTCCAACTGACTATCATGTGTGGTATTTTTAAAGGAGAGAGGAAGCAATGATTTTTTTTTTTTTGACTGGTGCTGATACAGGGTCTCTCTCTCCTCTGTATATGCAGCACTAACCCCTCACTGCGTTGTTGTTGTTATGTTGTTGTTGTTGTTCGGTTGCCATGGCGCTGGGCGGTGTCCAGGTCAGAGCCGAGGATTCGCCTTCGTCGAGTTTAATGTCATACAGGAGGCCACCCGCTGGATGGAGACCAACCAGGTCACTCTCTCCTACACAGACACAAATACACATATATAAATGTATTCAGTGAGACACAAAAGCTAATCTCATACAGTCACGTCATACCATCCTGTGCTTAAAATGCATTCTAGTGTAACAATAAATATTAAGAATGATTAAATAACATCGGTCCTCAGGTAGGTAGAACTTGAAGGAAGATTCCTCTTTTCTTTCCACAATTAGACAATTCAAACCAATTTATGTTGCATAATTCTGACAACCAAGGGGCAGCTTGATAGTTTTCATAGACGAGACCTCCCAGTCAAACTGATCATCATTTGTCCATCATATTCTCCTCTTTTATTCAGTGACTGTCTCGCTTTCCTTCCTGAGTTCACAGTACCACCTTTGGGATAGTATGACAGTGTGAATATAATGTCTCACATGGTCTGTTGTATGTTGAATCAGAACCAATATATTGCTTCATTTTCTTGTTTTTGAGCTTCTCACATCTGCCATGATTACATCTTTAGGACAGAGCTATTGTCTCTTTGGGGGACAAAGGTGGTGACAATGGGATGGGTTGTGTGGACAACTTTGGAAAGGTTTCCCCTTAAGGGGGGAGGGATGACACAATTGAACAAAGCACATTGTGTCCTTTAAAAATGGGCACTCACAGACTACATATATACCATCTCACCGTCCGTCCGAATTTCCTAAAGCTGAAGGTCAATTCTCTGGTGTCCTCTTCCTTTCAGCCTCAGTTGTACTCTCTCTCTATTCCTCTCCCTCTCTCTGTTCCCTTTCATTCTCTCTCATCTCTTGTGAGATGAGGCCTTTCTATGGCATGTGTGGCCTAATTATCACTGATAATCATTCTTTGTTATTCCTCCCTCTCTTTCTTTTTCCTTC